CGGGGGGGGGGGGGGGGGGGGGGGGGGGGGGGGGGAGACCTAGTGCTTTTCGTAGTGTATATTTGGGATTGTATAAGTGCCATCCATTATTCTCTGTTGTCTTTCTGTTGTTTTTTAACTCTGCTACAGCCTTCAGTTTTGTGGTGGGCGCAGTATGAAATCGGCTTTTTAAATTTTATCCGTTTTCACACTGTCTTGAATTTTCTAGAGAAATTCTAATCCAAAAACTATTTCGGATAGTTCAGATACTGTTGAACAATAGTCTCTGACTGCTGTCTAATTTTGATTAAATTCAGGTCTACATTGGTTGTGGCTTGGGTATCAGTCAAATTGGTTTCGTGATGACATCATTTGGAGTAACCGATGCCATTTGTAGCTTAGTGTTCGGTCCACTGATAAAACTGTTCGGACGAATGCCGCTATTTGTTTTTGGTGCAGTTATCAATATGCTCATGATTATGACACTTTTAGTTAGTTCTTACATTTTGTCCTGCAGTGATGTTTTCAAGACTTCTTACGACACTGCATACAGTTTATGAAAAGGCAAACAGGCATTAGCCGGAGAGAACTGAAAGAAAAAAGAGCAATTTTTTCTTAAATTATGGATGAGTTTGAGATAAGTAGCTTTTACCTAAAAATATCGAAGTCGCTAGAAAAATGAGACCTCGCATGATGTTGCTGAAATACTCCCAAACATCTGGTGCAGCTGTTTCAGGCTGTGCAATCCCAATCTACTTGCCTCTGGTAAGTGTTCCCCACTTGTTCAATCTACGTGTGCCACTCCTTTCGAAGGTGTTCAAGGAGTCGCTTACTTCTTCCAGCTATTCAACGGTGCTGGCGCAAATGGGCAACATGTTTTACCTAACGGATTTTTCCTCGCACTACTGAAGTGACTTGCTGTACACCGCTCGTCTGACGATAAGCCCGGCTGCTTATGTGGTTGAAGGAGCCACTCCAAAAATATCATTTGTTCCTTCTCACTTAAATGCAGAATCCGGAAAATGATGCATTAACAGTTATTTTACATTTCACGGCAGATTTGGCCGCTGAACCCCGGTGATACTTCGTTGTTCTATGCAATTGCCGGAGTTTTGGGGATGGCTGACGGCGTTTGGAACACCCAAATTAATGGTGAGCACCTTATGAATGATAACTTTCTTTGCACTTTGGAGCGATCAGCTAAATTACTGAATTCACCGCCTAATATGCAGCGTTTGCTGTCCTGCTATCAAGCGGCATACACTGTGCGTTTGCGTATGAAAATATGGTGCGAACGTTAGTTGCACTGGCACCAGAACACAAAGGGTGGAAGGGCACTAGCTAGGAGAAGAAGGAACAGATGGATCCAAAAACGGCTTGAAGTTTGCTCGAAAATACTATAGAAACTTGTGCAACAGCTGCTTAGAGGCAAGAATGCCGTTCTGACAGAATGATGTTGTTTTTTCTGAGAGGTGATCATAACATAAGTGCAAGGGTACACTGGGAATGAACGGATTTTTCAAGCGGTATTCAGAATTCTTGCAGGATTTTGGGTCACATTATCAGGGACCTCTTTGGAAACGGCATTTGCAAATTATCGTTTCTGGGAATCAGCTGGTTTCTCTTTCGGATTGCTGCTTACTCGTTTCACAATTGTCTCCCAGTTTTTGCACATTTCATTGGGCATGTTACTTGCTGGAATGCTCTGCTACTTGAGCATTGAGTTCTACGACGATATCTGTGTAAGGCTGCTCAAACGTTTGCTTCTTCGATCTTCGAGACGCTCGGAGCCTTTGAACTAAACTGTCGAAGTCATACACTAAGAATTATAGGGATCATGAACAAAAATCCAGATTTGTTTCTTGATTACTGCCAAAATATGAACAAATATTACACTTCTCAGTCCAGTCCCTGTACTTTTTACCCACAAAATTTGGAGTATTCTAGCCTGCAAGAACTGCAACTAACTCCAATAGACTGCTATTAGTTCTGGTGTGGTCTGGTGTAATCTTTTCTTCAGGGATTACACCGTTCCGTGCCCAGGTTACCACTGTTCCCGTATTACAAATTCAAGTGTTCAGGAGCAATTTTTATGAGTTCTTATCGGAAGGACAAAAAAGTTTATGTGTGCCGTTACAAACCTCATTTCACCCTTATTTTTTTTTTTTGCCTTTATTACTCAAACTGTTATCTTTTTATTTTCCTCCAACAACCTTTTTTGTTTAGAAAAATTTTACACACTTTTTGTAACTCATTTTCAGCTTTACGTCAAGCAAATGCTTGCTGCTTGCAACAGCGTTAAGCGAAGAAACAACACTAAGCCACTCTCTTCAATGGAAGCTTCACTAATCAGTGCAGCAAGTGCGCCCGCCGATTCTATGAAAACACGAGAAAATGAGGCTGCGGCATAGATCTGTAAAATTTTGAGTGTTGCAGCCACGATTCTTTTGAAATGTAAGCCAGTTTTGGAAAATGTCAATAAGGCTAGGAAAGATGAAGCAATAGCATTATCGGGTCTTCAGACCATCTGACATAAACCTCGCAAATTATCCTCACAAAGTGAAAAGAAAAATTTGTGTTTTTGTATCTACCGTGCACTAAGTGTATAGCTAAACCAAAGGAAAAGCAGACTGTTAGCGTACGGGTTCAGACCAAAAAACAGTACATTATGAAGTCGCAGTGGTCAGCATTCGAGCAGAGTACTAAATTCGACGATAAGCCTTTATAAAAGCAGGATGTTTTCTTGAAATACGCCTTGTTCATGTGCAATTTGTCACTGCTGTAATGAACAGCAAGAACGAATCAATTTTTCTCAAACGAGATCAGAAGGAATTTCAGCACACGTTTCTTGTGGGAAGTTCATTCTTCGCTGTCTTCCTTCAACACCTCGTCTTTGCCACTGTTAGAGTTACACGCACCGGGAATGAATAAATACCTTGAAAACAATTTTTGAGCATTTACAAGGTAGCCTCATTCGAAATCGCCAAAAAAGCCTCCTGATTTCCCCGAGAAACAGCGAGACTGCAGAAACTGCAAAGGTATGTTGGATTCTTGTCAAAGAAATGACCCCCTCCCAAAACCCATGCAAAACAAATGTGCGTAAAGATGATTTCTGTGAAATGCTAACAAAACCAACAGCACAGAACCCTCGATGCTACCGTTTGTGAGAGTGGCACAGATGCAGAGCGAGAGAGAGAGATAAGCCGAAAAGGCCCGGAACTGTGCTTTCGTCTGGTTGACAGCCTCAAATGGCACTGCGTACCTCTTCCGAGGAGCAGCGCAGTGAGTCATTTTGCTTCTCCACAAGTATCATCCACCGATACATTGCATAGTGCCATTACAGAGCGGGGCATTTCGCACTGGCTGCTTCTCCAACCCTGTACAGTCTCCATCGTAGGCACCTGCGTGCTCACGGTACTCGGAAGGGAGCAGCGTCTACTTTTTTAACGCAATAAGTGTTGCACTTCTCCAACCCAACCAATGGTACTGGGAATGCTCTTCTCCCTTTCTCCTCTACACTGCTCGGCCATCGTTAAGGCGATGCAATTTGGGACCAGCGGCAGCAGCAGCAGCATCAACACGCCACGCACTGGGCAATTTCACTCAGCGATGCCATTATGCGTCGTCTGTGACTGCGCCGGAGTCGAATAGTGTGCAAGTGGCGAGAAAGGCGCAAGCCAAGGGCACACACACACACACACACACACACACACACACACACACACACACACACACACACACACACAC